GCTCATGAAGAAAAACTCAAGAAGAGAATAAAGAAAGAGCCATTGGAGAAAGCCCTTCAAACCAAGCTCATCTTAAAAAATAAAGAGATTTTTCAAGAGGGGAGAAGTCAAAGTTCATGAGGGCGTGGTCGAAGCCAAGGCTATAGAAGAGGAGGTTATAAGACTTTCAACAAAGAAGAGAGAAGTCCACATTTCTATCAATCAAAAGGCCGTGGAAGAGGAGGTTTTTCGAGACCAAAGTATGATAAGTACCAAGTTCAATGTTATAATTGTCAAAATTTTGGTCACTTTGCCTCTGACTGTAGATTGGCAAAAAATAATGTTGAGGAGCGAATAAATCTTTCCAAAGAAGAAGAAGAAAATTCAACATTGTTGATGGCCCATAAAGGAGGAGAAAGTGACACCAAAACGACATGGTACTTAGATACGGGAGCAAGCAACCACATATGTTTGATGAATTGGTAAGTGGAAATATCTACGTTGGAGATGGATCAAAAATTCCGGTAAAAGGAAAGGGGAAAATTTTAATCCGGTTAAAAAATGGAAAAAATGATTTCATCTCTAATGTCTACTATGTGCCCAACATGAAATCAAACATTTTAAGTTTGGGGCAACTTTTAGAAAAGAGATATGACATTCATATGAAAAATCACACCCTTTTGATGAGAGATAAAAATGGGGATTTGGTTGCTAAAGTACCAATGTCAAGAAATAGAATGTTTTCATTAAACATTGAAAATGGGGGTCCAAAATGTTTGAAAGCATGTTTTATAAATTCATCTTGGATTTGGCACTTGAGGTTTGGACATCTTAATTTTGGAGGTTTAAAATTGTTGAGTGATAAAGGAATGGTGAAAGATTTGCCCAAAATCAATGAAGCTAATAAATTGTGTGAAGGATGTTTATTTGGAAAGCAACCAAGAAAAAGTTTTCCAAAGCAAGCATCTACAAGAGCAAAACAACCATTAGAGCTTGTACACACGGATATATGCGGGCCAATTAACCCAAGCTCTCTCGGAAATAGTAATTATTTTGCTCTTTTCATTGATGATTTAAGTCGGAAAACTTGGGTTTATTTTCTAAAACATAAATCTGACGATTTTGGGGCCTTCAAGAAATTTAAAGCTCATGTTGAAAATGAAAGCGAGTTTAAAATAAAATTCATGAGACCCGATCATGGGGGGGAATTCACTTCAAAAGAATTTGAAAATTTTTGTGAAGAAAATGGTATTCATCGCCCCTTAACGGTTCCATATACTCCACAACAAAATGGAGTTGTTGAAAGGAAAAATTGATCCCTTTTTAATATGGTTCGAAGCATGCTTAAAAGCAAAAATGTTCCAAGGGAATTTTGGGCCGAAGCCGTGGATTGTGCGGTTTATTTGTCAAACCGATCTCCTTCTAGAAGTGTTTGGAACAAAACCCCCGAAGAAGCATGGAGTGGAAAAAAGCTCGGAATTGCCCACTTGAAAGTTTTTGGGAGTATTGCTTACGTTCATGTGCCGGATCAAAAAAGAAGCAAATTGGATGACAAAAGTGAGAAGTTTATCTTTATTGGATATGATGCAAGAGCAAAGGGGTACAAGTTATACAATCCAAGCAATGGAAAAATTGTGGTTAGCCGTGATGTTGAGTTTGATGAAGAGAGCATTTGGGATTGGACTCAAAAGGAAGAAGACTACAATTTCTTGCCTTACTACAATGAAGAAGAAGAAGAGGAGGAAGAGCTAGCCCATGAAGAACCCATGAGTCCAACTCCACCATCACCTGAAGAATCCACAAGTGAAGACAACTCAAATGAAAGGCCGCCTCGCTTAAGGAGCATACAAGAGCTATATGAAGTAACCAAAAATATTAATGATCTAACATTGTTTTGTCTTCTTGCCAATTGTGAACCAATAGGTTTTGAAGAAGCGACTAACAACAAGAATTGGAGGGAAACCATGGGTGAAGAAATGAAAGCCATCATGAAAAATGACACGTGGGAATTGACCACCTTACCCAAAGGGCACAAAGCAATTGGTGCAAAATGGGTGTTTAAAGAAAAGAAGAATGCCATGGGGGAAGTTGAAAGGTACAAAGCAAGATTGGTTGCGAAAGGATACAACCAAAGAGCTGGCATCGACTATGAAGAGGTATTTTCTCCCGTTGCCCATTTGGAAACTATAAGATTTTTAATTTCCTTGGCGACTCAAAATAAATGGAAAATTTTCCAAATGGATGTAAAATCCGCATTTTTAAATGGGAAATTAGAAGATGTTTATTTAGAGCAACCACCTGGATATAAAATAAAAGGACATGAAGACAAAGTTCAAAGATTAAAAAAGACACTTTATGGTTTGAAGCAAGCCCCAAGAGCTTGGAATACTAGAATTGATAAGTATTTCCAAGTAAATAATTTCATAAAATGTCCCCATGAACATGCTCTTTATATCAAAAACGAGGAAAATGGAGATATCTTGATTGTTTACTTTTATGTTGATGATCTAATATTCACGGGAAATCATCCCAATTTATTTGAGAATTTCAAAAAGGCAATGAGTCAAGAATTTGAAATGACCGATATGGGCTTAATGTCTTATTATTTGGGAATTGAGGTGAAACAAAGTGAAAGTGGAATTTTTATCGGTCAAGAAGGATATGCAAAGAAAATCCTTGAAAAGTTTAAAATGGATGATTGTAATCCAATCAATACCCCGGTTGATTGTGAAGTAAAATTTTCCAAGTTTGATGATGAGAAAAAAGTGGAACCCACAATGTTCAAGAGCTTAGTTGGGAGCTTATGATACTTGACTTGTACAAGGCCTGACATTTTGTACGGAGTTGGTCTCATTAGCCGATATATGGAAGATCCAAGAACCTCTCATTGGAAGGCCGCCAAGAGATTTATTCGCTACATCAAAGGTACTCTTAACTTTGGCTTGTTTTACAATTCTTGCAAAGATTTCAAGCTTGTTGGGTATAGTGATAGTGATTGGGCCGGAGATGTAGATGACCGTAAGAGTACTACCGGATTTGTCTTCCTTATGGGTAATACGGCTTTTACTTGGAGTTCAAAGAAGCACCCCATTGTGACTCTCTCCACATGTGAAGCTGAATATGTTGCCGCCAATTCATGTGTTTGTCATGCTATATGGCTTCGAAATCTATTCAAGGAAATAGGCATGCCACAAAAGGAAGCTACGGAGATATATGTGGATAATAAGTCGGCAATAGCATTGTGAAAGAATCCAGTATTCCATGACCGTGGCAAGCACATTGATACACGCTATCACTACATTCGAGAATGCATTGAAAGAAAAGAGGTTGATGTAAGGTATGCGAGGTCCCATGATCAAATCGCCAACATTTTCACGAAGCCGCTCAAGCACGAAGATTTTCGAAGATTGAGGACCATGCTCGGAGTTACAAAAACAAGTTTAAGGGGGGATGTTGAAAATTAAACTTGTTTTTGGGCCTAATTAATATTTACTTTAGTTGTTGTTAGGAAGGCCCAAGTGATAGAAAAATGTAGAAGGAATAAATTCTAGAACTTCTCTAGAAGATAAGGTCTCTATAACTCTCCTATCATTAATTGTATAGAATTGTCTAGAATGCATTAATTATAGAAGAGTCTAGATACTTTTGTACTAGTATAAATAGAGCTCCCCTACCACCACCTTGTATAATGCAAATCAAGCAAATTGAGTCGTTCTAATAAAAAGAGTTCTTCCCCTTTGTTCAAATATCTCTTCCATAATATTTCTAATTTAGCCTTCCAATTTCCCAAATCTTCCTTCACTTATTTCCAACAGGAGAAGCTATGTAATGCTTCGTATTACTGGTCTTGAATAAGCAGTGTATTGCTATGTATTCACTGTCTTGCCTTGTGATTATTGGGTGAACAACTGAGTAATATTAGGGTGATTGCGGGTGAACAAATAGACCCAAAAACCATATGCGATCGACAAATTGATCGAAGCGGAATTGACCCAAATTGGCTAATACATTGGTGGTTAGGTTTACGGTTTATATATACTTTTATTTTAAAAACTCGATCGAACTGAAACTGACCGAAAAAACCCGACCAAAATGCTAAAAACTGACCGAAACTTACACAAATCGAACGACACCATCTCAAGGTGTGCGGTCTGGTTTTCAAGTTCAACTTTCTAAAATCGACCGACAAGAGTGAATCATCGAAAAACCAAATCGAAATTGTATGATTTGGGCTCGATCAGTTTCTAATTTCAAATTGAGTTCCAGAAACCGGGGCCGGTCGTGTATGTCTGAAGGCAATAATAATAATAATAAAACTAGGGGCGGAGAATTAAAACGAGCCTAATATTAAGAAAAACTGTAAAAACCTTTTTCTATCTAAACTAACATGCATGATAATAATAATAATAATAATAATAATAATAATAATTATTATTATTATTATTATATTTCAAGACATTTACAAAAAATTGTAAAATCTTCTTCTGTCTAAACCAATAATTAATAATATTGTTCATCCTTATTTAGAAAGAAAGCAAATAATGATGGTCCTATTATTTGTACACTTTATCAATGTTTAAGTCATATTTAAGACTGCAACAAAATTACATTTAAGAAATTAACTCTATTATTATCAAATCCTAAATCCCCCCCCCCCCCCCCCCCCCCGCAAATGATGTAATCATTCTGAATCATTTCTTTTGCAGTAGTTAAATCAATATTCTTCTATCAGTTCTCATCTTGTCATCTTGAGGAAACGATTCAGAATTTAACCTCTTTACATAATTACCTAAACAACTTTTCCATTGAATCTTTTTTTATTTAGGGCTGATTTCTCTAATCTTGTCCTCTTTTCTCTTTATGTTATTCAAATTCAGTCTTTTTTATTACACCTTGAAATTAATTAAATGTATAAATATTATTATAATTGAATTTTTTTGTCTAACAAAATCAACAACAACTAGATACTTATGCATCGTACAAATTAAAATAAAGTGGAATTACAAATAAATATAATGAGGAATATAATTAACATCAGTAACACGAGAAGAACCTTACATTACAATATGATTACACTGATTAGGTTTTATTTATGCAAACAATACAAATAAATAAACAAAAATGGAGAAATAAAGAAATATGAGTGAAATAAATTAATAATATTGTCAATTGTTATTAAATTACTCCATATGTCTTCAACATTTAGGCATATTTGAGGGAGATGGCAGCATTTTTTCACTAGGCTGCTTTCCATCTTTCACTATAAAGGCCATTTCCATTCCCCAACTTGTATGTCGTTCAAAATGACAATGCATAAACCACACTCCTGTTTCAAAAAATAAATAAAGGAATATTAATGAAAAGTATTTGATTTCATATACGTAGTATAAAGGAACAACGTACACAAATAATATGACCGCTTAAAAGTACAGATTAAAAGTTAAATGTACATACCAGGATTATTAGCTAAGAACCGAATGGCAGTCCAACCATTCCTAGGAACAGCAATTGTGTTCACAAGAGGTGGATCCACGAGATTATAGTTCTGGGGGTCTTTGCTCTTGTTGAAATTACCGAAACCCCAACCAACAACGTAAAAACTGTATCCATGCAAATGCATTGGATGATCAATCCCAGACAACAAATTTGTTCCTTGGAAAACAAGCTCCACAACTGTGCCATATTCAAGCACTTTCACTTCTGTTCCTCGGTCAGATCGCTGAAGTCGAACAGGAAGAGTTTGATTCGTGAAGTCAAAACTGAGCGGTGGAAAAGAAGGGAATTCTGTACCATAAACTCCCTTGATGTGTTTGTAGTAAGCTTGAAGGATGTCTATTTTGGGTAGAACGAAGCTTATGTTGTTCACACTTGCCCCGAACCTGTTAAGATTAGGTGCAGCACACCGAGCTGTGTTATTATCAGGGCATGGATTCAAATTGACCGAAACGGTGTACAAATAATTAGTTGTCACGTTGAGTGGGACATTTATGGGATGATCTTTATCAGCTAAGCTTCGGAGCTTTCCGGTGAAAGCTACTGATGAATTGGTGTCATTGAATGCCGGGAGAACGGGCATGAGTGGCGACGAAGACGGGGTATAATTTCCACTATATTGAACGACCGCTGTGGTGATTGTGTTATCAAACGCGGCCCTAGGAGCACTACTATAGGCTTTAGTAGCCATGTAGTAGTGGTTCTGGGCCTGATTGGCTTCAAGCAAGAAGTCAATGGTTTGACCGGGGGATATGGTAATATAATCACTCTTGAATGGCTTTGTGTAGGACCCATCTGTTCCCACCACTGTAATTTGGTGATTTGCTATGGAGAAGAACATCATTGTGTTCATCACTGCGTTCACCATGCGAAGCAAATACGTTTTTCCCTGATCCACTGTTAACTTGAATGTATCTGTACATAATTAAGTACATGAGTTAAATTACGAAATATTCTATATATAGGACTAAAACATAATCAAAATGTCATAATGTGAGTGTGTATATTGGATCCCCATTTTAGGACTCGATCATATGCTCCTATTTAGAGTTTGCCACATACATTTGTGTGATATCTAACATGCATGCCCATGTTCAAGTTAATTCAGTTGTGCCATAGTCAAGATAAATAATTTTTATTGTAAAGTGGTAATCAAGATGACATTTATATGAATCATCAAGGTGTCACACTGGCATCAGTGTTTTGATAATGGCAATTTTATTTGTGTTTTGTAAGTTATCATTCTAACTTGATGATAGTTGTATAATAATGTCATCATGACATTCTTGTTTGAGTATGATATTCTAGGTGGTTACACAACTTTTTTTAAATAAGGATATTTTGCATCAATTCTTACTTTTACTTATGCTATGATGCTAGTAGCTAGATTTCTCAAAAAACATATGATCCTAATATTTAATTTGAATAATTATATTGTCTCATCTCACTAATTTTTTTATTAAACTAGCTAGTGTGTAGTGTATCATACCTTTCATGGAGCATGCATGAAGATCTCCGGGTTGGCCATTGATGAGAAAAGCGTCCGAGACGTTAGGGTCTCCCCCACTAGATAGAAAGTGGTTGAAAACTTGTTGGATGTCACTCTTCCACCACTCTGCTAACACGATGGGCACTTCAGCAGAGGGCATAGGGAAAGGATATTGGGTGCCGCGGGCGGCGGGATAAACAATGAAGGCGCCGTGGACGGTGGCACGAGACCAGTCGCTGTGGGCGTGCCACCAGATGGTGCCTTCCTCATCCGAGAGCACTATTGTCTGGCTAAACTTAGTTCCAGGTCGGATGGGGCACTGGGTTATGAACTCGGGACCATCGAACCATGGATTCCTCGGCTGTTTCACGCCATGCCAGTGAATCGTTATGTTTTGCGTTCCCTTATTGTAAACGTCCACTATGACGGTGTCGCCTTTATTGGCGTAGAGAACCGGCCCTGGGAATTGCCCGTTCACTGTTAGGATCTTCTTGCTGCGGCATAGCCTCGTGTAGGCAGCTTCTTCAACCTGAATACGTTCAAAGTTAAGTTGATGGGTAGTTGGGTACGTACGTAGAATTAGGGGATACTACGGTCTTTTAAAAAAAAGTTGTATTACTTGTCTTTTCAAAGGTTAGTTTGAAAAGTATTCAGGGAAAAGAAGGCAACGTTTGGAAAGAAAATAGTGACATGCGAAAAAATGAACTTTACAAGGATTCATAAGCAGCATGAAATGAAATGCATGCGTGCATGTTCCAGGTAATTATTAATTTATTATTATTATGGAGTATTATTAATTAGTTATTACTATTATTTGTTTAATTTTTAAATACATGAACGGCAACACGTACAATTATGGAAAACTATACTACAATTAATCAATTATGATACACAATATCTCTTTATATAATACAAAATAATCAGTATCGAAGTTGGAAAATAGGAAAGTTGTTTAATGAACTTTCATTTTTTATAAATTTTTTATATGCAATATTGGTGTCAAATGAAAGATCGTAAAAAAATATGAATTTTGATATATTTTTTGTAAAAATTGGAGAAAAAATGAAAACATTAAAACGCTCTAAAGAAAAATGGTTTTTTTTAAATAATTTGGCCCCACGCCCCCACTAACAATATTTCATAAGCTAGCCGGCTGTCGCTTTGATAAGAAGTGGCCAAATCGTTCGGCGTTTTGAAAGTCGCCCATTAGTCTTGCGATTTTGGTAATTAGTTTTAACTCAACCTTAATTTCTTAAATATCTTTTTATTTAATACTTTCTCAGTTCTTAAATAAATGCAACGGTCAATATTTCACACTTGCCGACACACAATTTTGACCATTAATATAAATGATTTTGTATTAGTAAAAAAAAATTAAAAAATTAGATTATGAAAATTTACAATGAGACAAGTTTAACAATATTTTTTTCATAAAATAATATTATTACATTAATAAATAAAACGTAGTCAAAGTAGAACATGTGAATAGTGTAAAAGTCAAAGTATTGCATTTATTTAAGAACGGAGGTAGTATAATCTTGGAAAAAAACTCAATGGATTGCGTCATACGACGTATTTTACTACTGCTGGCATAATATTACCTCATTCCCAAATTGATTTGCAAAATTGATTTTTGATGAAACAATTTCATTTTATTCACTTAATTAGGATGTGAATTTTTGAGTATATCATATCAGTAATTACTTCATCTATTTTGAAATTTCAAAACTATAACTAAATTGTTAACACAAGTACTCACAATGAATTTGTGGCGATGGACAACAGACGCTTGGACGGTAGCTAGAAAGCCACATACAAGCATGAATGGCAGGAGAATGGTAAACCCTTTTGGAACCGACCACATTGCATGCATTTGCTAGCTGTGTGCTATAAATATAGAGAGAAAAAGATAGTTGATCAAACTGCTATAAATATAATCTTCTGTGTTTGGAAGTTGTTTAGGATCGGATGCAAATGCAATGGAAGAATGCTCTGAAATTGCATGTATTTATAGGGGGGCGGATCATATCTGCGTTGACGAAGACGATCGAGGGATTTTGAAGTGGTCGCGAAGAACTGTGCTGACCAACTTTAATCAATGGCCGTAATTATTTAAAAGTCACATACGTTATCCAAGTTAAACCGCGGCTTTTATTGGTGCAATTCAATAATTTTCTGACTTTTCTGTAATTCGTTGTGTTAGTCTGTGTAGGAAAGTTCTCTAATCACTTACCATTCCATTAAGTATTTGTAATTGTTGCCACTTGCATATATGCACGAACATTCAATTTAAAAGTCAAGCCTCGTGCCTATTTGTGCCGGGACTAGTATAGATTCCTCCGACCTTCTTTGACAATCAACACCAAAAGTTCACCATCTGCCCCCGGGGCGGATCCAGAAATATGAGTTGGATTCAGATGAAGAGTAATTCTTTTACAATCTTTTTAGTAACGGTTAACTTTTAGTACGTGATTGAAAAGATCTTAAAAGTAAAAGGTGGTAGCTATCTGGTAAAAAGCTGACTGTTTGGTTTAGTTCTGTTTCACTTTTTGGTACACAAGTTGTTGGGACTAAGGCTATGTTTGGCACGCATAAACCTCTGTCTTGTAGCTTTTGTATTGTTCAAAAAGACTCAAAAAGCTTCTAATTTTATGTTTGGCATGACAATTTTTAAGAAATTTTCAAAAATTAAAAGATCTCTTTTGAGATGCTACAGGGAGTAGCATCTGAAAAAAGTCCGTGACTTTTACTATTAATTAGTCCTAACAGCTTGTATATCAAACCGAATTAAATCAAACAGTAAGCTTTTTACCAAACAGCTACCACCTTTTCTCTTTAAGATCTTTTCAGTCACTAAAAACTAACAGTTCTTAATAAACTTACAAAAGTATCTTTCCAACTAGTTGTGCCAAACATACCCTAATTAATGTTAAAAGCCACAGACTTTTCTCAGATGCTACTACTTGTAGCATCTCAATAGAGCTCTTTTATTTTTTTGAAAAACTTTTAAAAATTGTTATATCAAACATACAACTACAAGCTTTTAGAGACTTTTTAAATATTACAAAAGTTAGAAGGCAAAGACTTATGCCTGCCAAACATAGCCTTAAACATTAGCGTGATTGACTGAAAAATATTTAATTTTAAAAAATCGAAAAAATTAGGGAGAACTATCAAATAAGCCCTCGAACTTTCATAAAAAGTGCAAATAAGCCCTTTTACAGGAGACTTTGTCCGGTTGTCTCTATTTGGGGTGGTTTCCGGTGGAATTTTTTGATGAAATTTTTTGAACATCTTCTTCATTAAATCTAATTTACTCATACCAAATTTCAGCAAAAAATGCAATTAAGAAGGCAGTCAAATGATTTTCTGAAATATACTGTGCTGTCTAACTGCGCAGTTATCTTCAAAATTTCATTTGAGTGCCTTCCCGATTGAATTTTTAGCTGAAATTTGATATGAGTAAACTAGACTTAATGAAGAAGATTCTCAAAATATTGCATCAAAAAATTCTACCGGAAACTGATTCAAATGGCAACGGCCGGACAGAACCTCCTATTAAAGGACTTATTTGCACTTTTTCTGAAAGTTCGAGAGCTTATTTGATAGTTCTCCCAAAAAATTAAATTGTCTTGAGCTTCAGCCCAGGGTCCTAATGTAGATCTTCGTCTGAGTGTACATATTGATTATTCAAGAATTTATACATTTCTTAAGTATCATATGTAACTTGTTCGCGTGAACCGGTTAAAATATTATTATTGAATAGTTCAGATATTAGATATACATAAATAATGAATAACGTTTCGAATTAATGAAATGCATAGTAAAAATTACTCCGGTATAAGATGTTGACTGTCAAAAAGTCTGGTTCACACGTTCTTGGTATAAGGTGGAGGAGGAAGATATATTTCATTTACTATATTATATGGAGTATTCAAGACTTTAACCCATATTTACGTTCCAAATTTGAAACATTATATATATTAAAATAGTTACCAGAGTACAAATTTACTTCCTCCTCAATAATAAACAATGAGATTGCTTGTGAAACTTAGTACTTTGGATTTCGCTCCCCTCTCCCACACGCTTATATGTTGGTTTTATATACGGAGTATGTGTTTATATGTTCAAATTTGATATGGATGAACTAGACTTGATGAAGAACATACCCAAAAAAAATCAGCCAAAAATACCACCGAAAACCACCTCAAATTGAGGTGGCCGGAGGAGCCTCCACAGGAATAATTGTGTACGATGTTATATGATTTTTTCCAAATTTGAGCTTGTATACGATTTGAATCGATTGGGAGACGATTTGAACCGATAGGGTGATTTTGAATTCAAATGGTGATTTTAAGAACCTTGGTGTTTGTAAATAAAATCACTCTTTGATTAAAAACATGAAAAAATCTATTGGTACACATTATTGATACACACTCTTCACCGATGTTTATGAAGACGTTTTTTTGCTATCCTAGACAAAACGTATTTGACAAATACGTTTTGTCTGGAACAGACAAAAAAAACGCCTCACAAATATGAGTGTGTAAGAAGAGTGCGTGCAAAAAGTATGTAGTCCATTGTGTGATTCTGCCAAGCCCGAAACTCCTGTGCATGTGTGGTTTGAAAATCTGGAAAGTTCACTAAATGTCGCTCGTACTTTTTAAGTGACACTCAAACACGGTCCTTTTAAAATTAATTATGATAATTGATAACCACATGTTACTCCGTATAACATAAATAACTAATTAAGCAATCAATGGAGTACCCAGCATCGTTCGATTAGCCATTTAGCCCTTACATCTCGTAAGCATTGATAGCCATTGTTATGACTGTATGTAACAATCCAAAAGCCGAGAAATAGAAAACATAGATCATAACGGAATGAGAGATTTGCCTAAATAGGACTAAAACAAGTTAGAATTTGACAAAAATAGGATTAGAAGGAGGAGGAGGAGGAGGAGGAGGAGGTGGAGGAGGAGGGTGAGGGGGAGGGGGAGGGGGGAGGGGGAGGAGGAGGAGCAGAGGAAGCAACAGAGGAAGAGGAAGAGGAAGAGGAAGAGGAAGAGGGAGAGGAAGAGGAAGAGGAAGAAGAAGAGGAAGAGGAAGAAGAAGGATACCTGTGGTCGACGGTGGAGTTGCGGTGCGTGACCATAGCTGGTGGAGGAGCTGCTATCAAGGGATGTGCGAAGCAGCTGCTGCTACGATGAATTTATCGTAGATGGCAGAAAGGGGCCAGCAATGTGCTGCCGATGTGCGTGGCCAATGACGAATTGCAGAAGGGGGCGAGAGATTGAGGTTTTAATCGCAGAAGAGCAAAAGTGTAATGTGGAGTCTCATTTATGCAATTTAAAACTTGAAGTCCTATTTTGGAGTTTTAACCATGTTTTAGTCCCATTTAATATAATTTCTATAACAGCATAAGCAACATTCCATATGGATGGGGATGGTCGGCCAAATATGATGCGTGACCAACCGTAAATAAACCCAAGTAAAACAGCATGTGAGACATTGTAATGATACGGAGCGCTCTCACTTTGGGTAAATAATCCCCAAGTAATTCTTGTTTATTCATATATGAGGTCTCAATTTTGCATTTGGAACCGTGGCCTCCAAATTCATTAGACGGCCCTGATTTTGGATGGGATAATATGGTTTTGGACTTGGTAAATGGTAATTATATACGGTATTATGCGTGTGGGAGGAAATTAGGGGGAACGTATATCATACAACCGGTTGTCCGGTGCCAGTCGTACGGACGGTGGCATTTTTGTAATTTTGTGAAAAACATGGCTTCTCTTGAATGAGCATTGATGCAATTTTGGTGAGCATAACACATGTTCTTTTGAGTATTAGGAGCCTAACAATGAGCATCGGTGTTCTCTGCTTCACATCTTATAATCCACTTTCTTTTTATTATTTTTTTCGTTTATAAAAAATTCTTAAATTATGTCTATAATCAATTCCAATTAATTTCAATATGTGAATGTAATGTAGTATGATCTGTTTGAAATGGGCAACATTTTAAAATGAGCATAAAGTGATACCAAATGAGCATACATAACTTACAAAATTAGTATCAAAAAATTCAAAAGCTCATTTGTGTATGCTCATTTATTTTGGGCGTTATACTCATTGGAGTTTATTTGACTTAAAGCTCATTTCTAATGTGTTCAATATTGATTTGTGTATATTCAATCCTTTAAGGTGTATACTCATTTGAGTTTAATATAAAACTCATTTGTAATTAATAAGAAGTAAGGATTCCTCAGCAACAAAGTAGACTCTCTTTTCTCCTAAAATCACAAGCTCAAACAGTAAAACTACTTAAGAAAAAGAGAAAAACGAAAAGAGTGGAAAGAAAGACAGAGGGAGAAGAGGTCCGGAGCCGCTGCCTTCGTACAAGAGGAGAAGAGGCAAGTGGTGAGCGGCGATGGCGAGCAGCGAGCTGGAGGAGAAGGGATGAGTTTTGGCGACGATGAGCCTAGTGCAAAGTCAGATTGAAGAAGCAAGCGATATCCGGGAAGTCTGGTGCAAAACCAAATCGAAAAACTCTGGTACGAAGAGGTCAAGAGGATTGAAAAAGCGCAGAAGCCCAAATAAAATCATGTTGTGCCGTGCGCATGATACAGTCGGTCGTATGATATATTTTACGGAAACTAAGGGTGCCAAACAGTTGTTATACCGTATGACCGGTATACGGTGAGCACCGTATACCGGCATACGATTTTAGGCATTGAGTATTATTTTTTACTTCTATTTTTTAAAAAAATGGTAATAACTTTTTTATTTTTGATCCATTTTTTATAAAATTTATATCAACATTTTTTATTTTTCATGATCTTTCAAATGAGACCAATATTGCCTATGTAATTTTAACATATTATCGAACTATTATATTAACATATGTAAAATATGTAATTTTATGTGTAGAAATATGTAACTCACGTCCAGTCATGCCAAATGGA